AGAGACCTCCTGAGACTCCCTCCAACCTGAGTTACCCTGTGATTCTGAGACTGCAACTGAAGGACAGGCTCTTAAACCGATGACTGAATCACCCCGATCCATCAGCCTAAAACAATGAATTGCTAGGGTTTGACTTAAAGAATCAAAAATGTCCCAATTTGGGTATAACAATCTCATATTGTCTCCTCAGGGGGCTTAGACAGGACCTATTACTCCCCCGTTTGTGGTTTCTGTATGCAGTAATTTAGTCTTGGAGAAATTAACCGGATTCAAACAAAAATAAAAACATTCCTAACACTCCATTACTTAAAAACTTGGAAAAGCACTTAGCACACACATCAGCCAATCTGTCTTCCCAGTCCCGTGGAGGGTCTTGCTGGGAGGAAATCAAAGCCAAGAAGGAGGCAACTTGCCACAAATCAAACTCCAGAGCCAGCGCAGGGTTAGGGTCTGCTTCTTCCTTCCAGTTGTGAGGCCACCCCACCTGGACCGTGGAGTTTTTTCCCCCCTCCTAACATCACGCCATCCGTTAAGTCTCCAGCATGCTGGGGGCTAGCACACCCCTAGACATCTCCTTCCAGGCACTAGCTAGCTCTGTTTTCCCACTGTCTTTGCTTCAGTCTCTTCAGGGCAGACATTCTCTTCTGCCCAGTACAGCACTGTACACAATAAGAGAACTAATGGAAACACAAGTTTTCATAATTACATTAGAAGGAAATGCCCTTTTTCAGAGAGAACTGCCTGATCTGAAGAGGTCCTCTCAGAGGTAGCCTGTTTGCTATGTTGCCACCAAGAGAAATGGTGCACCCAGTGAAACACATGTAGATTCTGCTGTCTCATTTGCTTTAATAGGAAATGAGTGGTGCTGCAAGGTATCCTTGTATCGGTTAAAAGGAGCATGACAAAGCTGAAAATTAATTTACCCTGCTGCAAAACATCCTGGTCAGCACTTACTAGCTGAAGGAAAAAAAAAGAGGCAGCAAGAACAGCTCAGCCCCACAGGACATTCTTCTGCACTTTTCCGCTATTTTCCAGTAGCTTTGCCATCAAAGCATTCCTTTAACCATCACAACAGACTGCTTACAAAACCAGCTGCAGTGTCCCTTTTACCTGTAGCAAAACATTAAAGCCTGACAGGCTGAAGCCAAATTCCCTCAAGCATATGCATATGATGCGTCTTATTAAACCCAAGCACACAAAAATTATTCCCAACAGAACAGAAGGGACGAGTAAGTTTTCCTCAGTAACATCAATCCACAGGAGACACGTTACGAGACCAAAGCTGAATTGTCTTCGGCTTTAGGAAATGGGAAACGTAAAATAACTCCACTTGAAGCAAAACGAGCTATTTCTGGTTTCAGAACAGCCTCTTTGTTGAACACAGGCTCTCAAGCTGCACACGTTACAGAAGATATTTAATTTATCTTTTGTTTGCAATTAAGAAGAAAGAAGGACCCTTAATCCTTAGCTTGATACAGCCGTGGATGTTGTATGACTTAAGCAGCAAGCGTAAGGAGGAGCCTGGGGCAGCACCTGGAGTGTCCAAGGGAAATCAGAGCTGCCTCCCAGACAGCAGGCAGGACATCCTCCATGAGCAAGGCCCTGTTTCTCTCTGCATGTGGCCAGGGCACAATCAAAGAGAGCTGAGAGCTTGAGCTGATGCCTTCTGGGAGGGGAAACAAGGCTCTGCTCCCTTTGGGACTCCAAACAGTGCACATGAAAGGGTGGAAACAGGCAGGTGAGGAGGAGGATGCAGAGAATAAGGAGATGGGAACCGCCATCCTGGACCTGACCACAAGGGTCCTGTCACTGACACGAGTTTCTGGTAAAGCATCTTTAGGGAAGAAGAGCAGAAAGCAGGACAAACAGGGAGGACTCCTTTCCTCCCCGTGCTGTCCCTCCTGCATCCTGCCCACTCCTTCTGCTAGGGCAACCAAACATGGGGGGGGGGGGGCAGTATTAATCTTTGGTAAAGGCCTTCCCCAAATTACTTAAGATCTCTTCAGATCTTAAGGTTTTTGAGGTTATTTTAACTCTGCCCACCTGCATGAACTCTGCACTGGTGGAGCCTGACTGAAAAGCCTCCCTGCTATGCCCTCAGCACCAGCCTGCAGCTCTCACAAAGTTCCCCTCGGGCAGCTGGCAGACCTCAACCACTTCCTCAGAGCTCCTGCCTCTTTTTCAGCTCTTCTTCCTTTGCCCCATTAGTTTACTGGATGTTGGAACCCTGCTGGCACAGCTCTTATTCTAGTACTTTCTGTTCCTCTGCAATCTCACCTCCATGCTTTTAAAACAAAGATAAGCACGTGCCTGTTTGTGAACACAGCTGGAATACCACGTAGGCTCTTCCACACCCACTGGCAAGAGCAAAGAGTAGCTGCACACGCATAATGCTCCTTTCCCACGACCAGCAAGGTGATCCAATTCCTGCTTTATCTCGTGTCCTCATCTCTTCACCCAGAAGGCTGGAACCTGCTCCCTCCCTGCACCTGCCTCTTCTTCCCTTGCCCATCCTTGCCTGTAGAGGCAGTTACCTGTGCTCGCCCACTGCCACACACTGCTTAGGCACAGGATGAGTGCCTTGGGAAGACACTGCCTAGACTGGACAGCGAGCTTCCCAGCTGAGCCCCATCACTGCTGAGCAGCAACCCTCTGAGCCAAACGCTTGCATCCTCCAAAGACAGAGAGGTGACTTCAAGTATCAGTTAGTCTGTAAGGTAAAGGGCTATACAGGACAGCAGGTGGGCATTTCACAGACAAATAGTACTCTGGCTTCCCAGTGCTTGAGTGAGTTTTGGAAAAATTACTCTATTTCACATGGAGAAACCAAGGCAGACGGATAAACGTGAGCGATTCTGTCCCACGGGTCATGTCTGAGGCCCAGCCAGGAACTGAACCTGGACTTGCTAAGTCTCAGTGCTACATACATCCTTCAAGCAGGGTGACTGGGGACAAAAGCATCCTCAACTTTTCAGTGCATGCACATGCCCAGGATTTCCACTTTCCACCACCCCTCCTGTCAGTGTTACCATCAGTCACATCTCCCAGGGGCCTAGAAACCTGCTCATAAATCATGGTGCTTAAGAAAAGGAAACAGGCTTGCAGATGGGCAGGTGCAAAAAGCTGTTTGCTTTCACAAACCAATGCGTTTGTGGGCACAGATGGCTGCATGCACGAAGAAGACAGGTTCATGATCAAAGGCTATTTTTGAAGATGTGGGTCTATCTGCAATGACATTAAGCAGCAAAGAACTAGAAAGCACACGCCTCTGACCTCAAATGCAAACAAGATCATCAGCTGATAAAGACTCCACCAAGAGACCCCTTAGTGAACTGGGGCAGTTCTAATGACAAGTTTCTCATTTAAATGTTATTTTGCTATCTGGAAAGACTGAAAGCAAGGGCAGAGAGAGAATGACCTGCTGCAGAAGAGCTCTTTGATCACCTGCACTGATAGCTGAAGAGAAAAGCAGCAAGAATCCAACCTCTTTGCAAACACTCTGCTTGCTTGGCACCGTCAGATAACAGGAAGCAGAGCCTGCGTGGAGAGGCACATGAGCGCACGTTGCCATCGGTTCCCCTTCAGCCATTTCAAAGGGCTCCCCCCCCAACAGGACACAGCAGCACTTCCTGACAGATGTCCAGAGGATCCCGCAATGACCACAGCATCCTGCTGCCGCTCTTAAGAAACCGGCCCGGGGCGGCAGCTCATGACAGCGAAGGGCAGATTTGCTCAGCTCTTGGTGTGCCCCAGATCTTAGAGCTGAATACTCACAGCTGGAGCTGGTCAGGGAATTTCTGATGACATCATTTCTTGCCGGGGGAAAAAAAAAAAAAAGTAGATTTGGTGAAACAGAATCTTTTGGCAGAAATGTACTGGTTATGATGAAATGTTGGCTGAAGGACTTTAGGTTGGATTTTCTAGTGATGAAAACATGCTGGGGGAGAGAAACCCACGGCACAATATCCAAGTAGCAAGGAAGTATCTCAGACCCCTAGGATACGAGATACCCTTGTTCAACCCTATCCTCTCCCAAGTCAGACAACACCGACCTATTACTGAGCAGGTTGGTGACCAAACCAGCACCAACCTACACCGGCATGGGGCTCTGTCAAACTCAGCCACTGGAACTGCCCCACTTTGAATGAGAGAGATCTACCGGAGGCCTGAACCCGGGAGTCCTCTAAGCAGGTACACGAATCACAAGGCCAATCCAGGCATTCAGCTCTTCTCCACATTTTTTGGAGATGGGTGAAGGGAAAAAGACTGCATTTGTCTTGATTTTATTTTTTTAATCTTCCTGTTTTCTACCACATGAAATTTTCACTCCCTAAGAAAACTGTTCCCTGTGCAGCACTAATCAGATCATATAACCACCCAAAGATGAAAATGGCCACAGGGGCTAGGGGCCTCAGGTCTCACTCAAGCAGGTTTACTATGACAGCTTCCATTTCTCACAAGCCAAACTCCATGTGAGATGTTGCTCTCAGGTGCAATTTATAGGCAGGACATTGGAGACGAGGATTTCAATATTTTAAAGACTTTATTTAATGCCTCAAGCTAGCTTTTCAAGACCAAAGGATCAGAAAATAACTTAAACCTGAGCAGACTAACAATGCAAGAGAAATACTCAATCCTTGACAGGCTCTGAATTTATGACACTGAAATTCTGGAGATTGAAGGGATTTCTACATTACAGTTAGGACCCACTACTGCTGTGAGAGGCTTCAGCAACCAAATGCTATGAAGCAGAGAAAAGCTATTGCTATTTTACAGGAGAACTGAGCTTCAGAGATGCCCTGAACACGTACAGCATCAGCCTCAGCCGTACCCATGCTCCTACCTACTGCAAC